AGGAATTTCTCAAACTTTATGCCATTTTCTTGTCAATCATCAGATACCTCCCCAAAAGTAACAAGTAATACTACAACTAGCATACTGGTGAGACCAGACCACAACATGCTGGACAGCCTTTTTCAGGTTTTTCATTGTGTATGAGAAATCGTACAGGGGAATCCTGGAACCCTGAGAGACGCCACAGGCCAAGGATCAAGCGGTTGAACAGGATGTGTCCCCCCCGCCCCACTGCCAGGCACCGACACCATGCAAGGGTAAATCCCAGAAGCTGACCCCTTTTTTGAAATCAGGACACCACTTCTCACCAAAACACAACCACAAAGCAAGGGGTCAAGGCTGTTTTCCAGAAAGTGTGAATGGTAGTGAGCAGAAGAGGGCATCAGGTAGACCATCTTGATTGCTGCTATGGGTGTTGTCAACATTCGGTCTGCCTTTTGCCACCAACAGCTTGGCACCTTTTTCCCTGCTGGCAACACGGGCACAATATTTTAACAAGAATGACGAAGACCAGACATAACAGATTGTGCCATAGTTCACCCAGAGAAGGTGACCTATGAAGATCAACCTGAACATCGGGGAGGGGGCTGGTTGTGTTATTTGCTCTGCTGGCCTGTGTGGTGGATTCTTGATGGCCAGGAGGAGAAAACTCTGGAAAGGCAGCATCACTTGTGAGTTGCAATTAATGGGAGGCACATAAATGTTGGTACTGGAACTGGGCGCCAAAACCAGAGATCTCCACGTGGCACCCCTTCTTTGCCTTGATCTGAGGCCTCCTTTCTTCTGGACAGAGACCACCTTCTCAGGGGGAGGGAGGTGCACCGGTTCTTCTCCCCACAGATCTCTGTTTCCCAACCCTTAAAGCAACCCTGCATCGCACTCTGGCTTCCAAAAACCATCGACCACCTTCTTGGCACAGAAAAATAACGACGTGCCCTTACTCTTTGCACCATTTCCTCACTGCGGGCACAGAACAAGCCTCAGGAAATGAAGCGTTCCTTTTCCAGGCACCGTTTTTAAACTTTGATTTTATTTTTTAAATGGGAAGCGCTGCTCTCCCACCTCGGGCACCGGAGGCGAGGCAGGCACAAGCCCCCCCAAGGCCATCCTCCCCAGCTGGGCGCCCACACATCTTCCTCTGTCCGCCTCCATCGCCAGGCACAAGCCCCCCTTTCCCTTCCCCCTCGACCCCCCGGGGGGGGCCCTCGTCCCTTCCTTCCTCCCCTCCGCACAAACGCCGCTCCCTCCAAGCGGAGCCCCTTCGCGGGGATTCCCGGAAAACCCCCAACTTTCTCTTTCCCTTTCCAGCTTTCAGACGCTCGCTGGCGGTGGGTCTTCTGGGTGGCAACTACTGACGACTTCCGAACTCTTTTAGCCTATTGGTCCACTTTTTTCCCTTCCACCAATCCTGGCAATTCGGTCTGAAATAGGCGGGGCTTGAGTTCGCGCTCGTTCGCATTGGGAGGAGGCCGGGCGACGGGTGCGTTGTGTCCGGTGTTGCTCCGGATTAAGAATTTAAAACTCAGCGGAAAAAGTACGAGGTCCGGGTTTAACAACGAAATGGGGCTGCCCGGCGCTCCCGCCTTGCTCCTGGGGGCGCTGGCCCTCCTCTTGAGGGGCTGCGAGGGTGAGTAACGTGGGAAAGGAGGGGGGGGGAAGAACCGGAGAAGTGGCGTCGAGCTCTGACTGGGCGAGGGAGATCCGGAGTCGGTCCCTTTTCTTGGATCCATTTGCCCTCTCGTCCCTTTACGCTTTTGTCCTCCATGGATAAAAACATTTCAGAGGGTTTTGGGTGGCGGGAGACGCCCGGGAAGGGTGTGCGTGTCAATTCCGCCATTTAATCCGAAGTCAGTCCGCTTTCGGATCCACGCTTTTCAACGGCTGTTGGTCTCGGAGGCTGAAAAAAAATATAATCCCTTCTGTTCGACTTTGGAGCGACTCCCCCTCCCCGAAGTGGTGTCGTTGTAGTATCAGATAAGTATTAGATAGCTGAGGTTTTAACCAAAAACCTAAGTATCTCTTAAATATTGGTGCAATATATTTGCTGTTTAGCCAAAATCCACGCAAACCACCATTTATAGGCATATTTTACAATGTTTTTGTGATATGCCTTGCATGCATGAGACTTTGATAGGATGCTTCTGAGCACAGGAATGTGGGGTAACATCATCTTCTAGACCCTCCTAATTCTGCTCCATCTCTCTGTCCCTTTCCAGGCTTCTCCTCACACTCCCTGCAGTATTTCCACACTGCTGTGTCCGAACCCGATCAGGGGCTGCCCCAGTTCATCTCAGTGGGGTACGTGGACGGCCATCTCTTCAACCAGTATGACAGTGTCGCAAGAAGGGAGCAGCCTCGGGCACCCTGGATCAAGAAGGTGGACAAGGATGACCCCCAGTATTGGGACGGGCAGACCCAGATATGCCGGAACAATGAGCAGGTGTTCAGAGAGAACCTGCAGATCGCAAGAAATCGCTACAATCAGAATGGAGGTGAGTGGAAGGCAGGAGGGGGGAGCAGTTCTCCTCCCGGGGTTGGTGTTGGGAGAAGGAGGGACATGGAGGGAAGGCCCACCCAGGGCAGGCACCCCTTTTCCCTCCAGTTGGCTCGACATTGATTGGGGGAGGGAAGAGGAAGAGAAGCCCCACTCCGGAGAAAAGAGAAAGAGGTGAGTCAAAGTGGAATCAAAACAACAGCAATGATAGCCGAAGGGAAAGCAACAAGAGGGCTGAGCTGCTCCTCTCGGGATGGCAAGGAGGGGAGGAAAGCAGACGGGCCATTCAGGGACAGGCAGCCTGTTGGGAAATCGGGTGGGAAGCCTCTGAAGTGGAACATTGTCTGATTTTGGGGTGGCAGGGGGTCACAGGGAGACCAAAGACAGGCGTCTTTGGATCCAGCTGTGGATTTTCATTCACTTCCCTTTTGGGACAATACAGGTTTACCTCAGCAAAGCACTCATTGGAGGTGAATTTGTATTGTTAGTGTTACTTTGAAAGCAAATGTAACAGCCAGGTAAGAATTATGGTGACTCAACAACTGCGTCACCGTGTATAAAATGTTAACTGTTTGAAGGGAGTGGAGAAAGAGGCAGGCAGCTGGTCCTTCTCTTTAAAGTAGGAGCTGGGCATGCAGGGTCTGGATTCAGAGGCGTCAAAACTGAACACACACACACACACACACACGGTAAGAATTATGGTGACTCAACAACTGCGTCACCGTGTATAAAATGTTAACTGTTTGAAGGGAGTGGAGAAAGAGGCAGGCAGCTGGTCCTTCTCTTTAAAGTAGGAGCTGGGCATGCAGGGTCTGGATTCAGAGGCGTCAAAACTGAACACACACACACACACACACACACACACACACACACCGTTGTGTTGAAGAGACAGACATCTTAGAACAGGGGTCTCAAACTCAATTTATTTACCTGGGGGCTGCTGGAGGCAGAATCTACAGTTGTGTTCAAAATTATTCAACCCCCACTGAAATTGAATGTTTTGGCCATTTTGACATTGATTTTGATCATTCAGTCATCTTGCTTACATTTACACGAAAGAGGCACTTGTAGGTCAGAGAAATATAACCTTAAGTTTATAATGAAATAACCACAAATGTCTTTTCTGTGCTCACATCATTATTAGTTTTTATTCAACCCCCAAGTGACATTCAATCTTAGTACTTAGTACAACATCCTTTTACAGTTATAACAGCTTTTAAACGTGAAGCATAGCTTGACACAAGTGTCTTGCAGCGATCTACGGGTATCTTCGCCCATTCTTCATGGGCAAAAGCCTCCAGTTCAGTCAAATTCTTAGGCTTGCGCACTGCAACTGCTTTCTTTAAGTCCCACCAGAGGTTCTCAATCGGATTTAAGTCTGGTGATTGCGATGGCCACTCCAAAATGTTCCAGCCTTTCCTCTGCAACCATGCTCTAGTGGACTTGGAGGTATGCTTGGGATCATTGTCCTGTTGAAAGGTCCAACGTCTCCCAAGCCTCAGGTGTGTGACGGACTGCATCACATTTTCATCCAATATCTCCTGGTACTGAAGAGAATTCATGGTACCTTGTACACGCTGAAGCTTCCCTGTACCTGCAGAAGCAAAACAGCCCCAAAGCATTATTGACCCTCCGCCATGCTTCACAGTAGGCAAGGTGTTCTTTTCGTCATATGCCTTGTTCTTCCTCCTCCAAACATAGCGTTGATCCATGGGCCCAAACAGTTCTAATTTTGTTTCATCAGTCCACAGAACACTATCCCACAACTTTTGTGGTTTGCCCACATGACTTTTGGCATACTGCAGTCGACTCTTCTTATTCTTGGGAGACAGCAAGGGGGTGCGCCTGGGGGTTCTGGCATGGAGACCTTCATTACGCAGTGTGCGCCTTATTGTCTGAGCTGAAACTTCTATACCCACATCTGACAAATCTTTTTTCAGTTCCTCAGCAGTCACACGGGGACTTTTCACCACTCTACGCTTTAGGTAGCGCACAGCAGTCGAAGTCAGCATCTTCTTTCTTCCACGACCAGGTAGCATTTCAACAGTGCCCTTTGCCTTGAATTTGCGAATGATGCTTCCTATGGTGTCTCTTGGTATGTTTAACTTCTTTGCAATCTTCTTATAGCCATTGCCCTTCCTGTGAAGACAAATCACCTCTTCTCTTGTCTTCCTGGACCATTCTCTTGACTTCACCATGTTTGTAACCACACCAGTAAATGTCTAGAAGGAGCTGAGTATCACAGTCATTTTAAAGCTGCCTAATTGGTGCTTATTATGCTTGATTGGTGCTCGGTGACATCCACAGGTGTTTTCAATACCTGATCGAAAACACCTGAATGAACCTCTCTTCTTCAGAGTGGTAGTCTTTAAGGGGTTGAATAATTGTGGCAATGAAGAAACCACAAAAGAAACATTTACTACTGTATTACATAAACAATTGATGTTATTTTAGTTGCATTTGGTTCTTTAAAACGTCCTTGTAGGATTTCATTCTGAATACAATTCCAAATGTACACTATAGTCCCTAAACCCCTTTACAGCATTGGGGGCTGAATAATTTTGAACACAACTGTATAACACTTTTTTGTGCAAAAACCACAAAACAATGACTCTCAAGTAACAAAACAATAAAACAGCAATAAAACAGTAGGAACATTTAATATGACCACAAAGATCACTGAGAGATTTTAAGGCAGTCACCCTTTTAGTCTTATCTCCCTTAGACAGCTCTTTCAACAATAAAGTTGACAGGGTGAAATCATGTAGTTATTACACTCGCAGGCCCAATACTCACAGTTGTTTTTGCCGCCACCGCCAGTAGCACCAGTGGTGGCGAGCGGGAGCCGTGCAGGAGCTGTATCCACCGGGCCTCCATCGCTTCACTGCGCTGGGGCCGGGGCACCGCCAGGGCAGCCGGAGGCTTGATTGACCTTTGTGGGGAAAGGGCTTGGCACCAGTCTTGCTGCCTCACTTGGCTGTTGCTTGCTTGCTTTGCCTGCCTGGCTTGGGCTCAGTAAACACGCCGTGGGGGCAGGAGCAGCTCCGCCTCTGCCACCCACCTGCCTCCTCTGGCTCCTCCTACATTCAACGCTGAGGCACCCCGGAGCCTCCCTCTCACCCACCTCACTGCCCCACCTGGGGGAGCGCAGGAAGAAACAGAGATGCGGCACTGGAAGAGATACGGACAGAGTGGACAAAACACTAGTGGAGTGCGAAGTCGTCAGCGGCAAGACAGGAAGGGAGTGTGCATGTGCTCACGCCCAGCGAAGTCCCAGCGTGGTTCAGTGTTCAAAGGCTGGTATCACACCCGGAGGCCCTTAATGTCCGGGTCCAATGGCTATTCATTGTGCAGGGGTGGGGCGGGAGGTCTGTCTCCACGGCCCGGTCCAGCTCAGCTCAGG